AGAAAGGTTTTTAGAAAAGCCCCAACCAGGAGGCTCTCTGATTTCCCCTCTTCCTGTTGGTCTGAAACTCCAGAAGGCAGAAATCCCTGGGTTTTATTCTGACGAATGAAGGTGGAGCTCAGGGGCTGCGTATTTTTAGCTCTGATAGCATCTCACAGCATATTTTCCCAGGGAAACCCTCCACTCTCCCCATTCCGCCGGAAGCTCTGGGCTAGCGAGACGGTGGGGCATCTGGGAACGTGGGAGTGGGCTGAGAAGGGAGTGGACTGAGGCGATCAGAGTAAATCAAACCAGATGGGGATGTGGGGGCTGGCTTGGGGGGCTGGTTACTCTCCTTGCCTAGAAGCAAATGGGTCTTTGTCTCTTTCCCCTTCCAGCTTTATTCACATTAGGGGAACTGGAGGCAGAAGCAGGGCCCTTCAACCATCTGCAGGGTCTGGGTCAAAGGTACCAAATACCAGATGTTTCTAAATAAAAGTTCTCAATCACACTATTGAATGGTTAGAAAATATGCTCTTTCTGACAATGAAATACACCTTTACAACACAAAAGAAGGTGCATGTCACGTTGTGGGTTTTATAGGGCAGAAAGCTGGCAGAAATATCAAAGAAGACTGAATTCACTACCATCGCATATTTCCAGGTGTTCTGTTGTTGGGCTGGTGGTGTGTGGATGGATAAAACAGAGACATAAATCAAATTTGTAAATCAATAGGCATTTACACTAGACGTTTTACCTCTCTTGCCTTCATTTCAGCTCCATTGTGTGTTATAATCAAGACCTCCCATTCCCTGGCTTTACTGAGATATAATTGAAATAAAAATTGTATCTATTTAAGGAGCACGAAGTGATGGTGCATATGTGTGTTCACAGCGAAATGATCATCACAACCAAGTTAATTAACTCAGCCATCACCTCACAGGTTACCTTTCCATCTTTGGTGTGGTGAGAACACTCAAAATCTCGGTATCATCAGGCGTTTTCTATCTTTTGTGCTCTACCGTTAGTTACACCAGATCAGACAACCTTTCTTGAGTCACTGTTCCTCTCTGGTTTTCACTAATTTTAGTTTGAAGAAATTCTGCTCTGATAAGAAGATGGGAGCTGAAATTGTTGACAGGACTTTTTAAGCAATACTTAGATTAAAAAAATAAGCAAGATAGTTTACATAGCACATTCAACTCCTGCAATGGGGTCACATACAATTATTATAACAGAAAATATTATGAAACATTTTCATTTTATTATAGAAATATCCCTGATGATAGAATTTTCACTGTCTCTTAAAGCAGCATCTGGAACATATAGTATTTTGTGTTATTTCAAATTGTTCAATTTTTGAGATATTATAAGGAAACCTCCCTAAAAGTGGCCCGTGGCTCAGTTTGCTCTGGTCTTCCTCAAGACTATACTTTGACCAGTCATGGCCAAAAAATAGTTTGTAAATAAGTTAGTTTGGCATTATTTGCATATGAATCTTCTTAGTCATGCAAAATATTTTTTGTTTCACTGTTTCGATTTCTATTTCATTGCAATGGCGTTTTTGTTGCATACTTCACATGCATGTTCATTTAGGAAGGTTGATTTCTCTAAAATTTGTAAAAATGTTTGAGTCCCCTTGGAGCAAATTAGACAGACCTAGATGCCATTGATTTTGGGGGTAATGTTAATAACAGTAAGCCATAGTGCAGACCAAATGACTATCGTGTAAATTGAAAATGAATTTTATTGCCTCTTAAGACTGCTTCTCACTTTTTTGGGGATCTTCTGTGCCTTTATTTAAATTTTTAGTGCATCCTTCATCTTATCTAAATTAAATCTAATTACTTGAACAGCATTTTCCAGCAGTTCCATTGAGTGTCTGAAAGTAGTTATATAAAATCTGATATGTGGTTCATCAAACATTCTATCTTTGGACAAACAGCTCCATATACTGTCATATATAAATATAACCTTTTTTTTGGTTTCAAAAATGGTGACATCATTAGAGGCACGTTGTCACTCATGTTTTCTAATAACAAATTCAAGCTGTGTGCATTATGAGGCACAAAGATGTTCCTGCATTTTTGTCTAAAGTAGCCATTCTCGTAGGTTTGACCTCTTTCCTCACCTATGTGCCTCTGCAGCTCCAGCTTCCACACTTTCCAAGCAGGACGCACCCCTGGTATCAGTGGCAGCACGATGCCTGAACCCTCATTACACTCGGAAGTCACTGCGTTCAAGGACGTGGGCAAGAAATAAGGGAGAAAGTCTCGGCCGGGCCTGAACAGCATTGGTCACGGGGTGGGGGTGGGGGGATATTTAAGATTATAGGCTGTGGTGGGCCCCGCACTGAGTAAGGAGTGACATAATTGCTTAATGCTACTTAATAAATGCACTTATATGTAGGAATGTGATGTTCAGGGCCTGGTAGAGTGTAGGGCTAGAGTGCATCTGATCTAAGCCAATCGGGGCCTTTTCTTGGCCAATATTTGATGCTGGAAGATTCTTTCTCTTCATTCTCTTGCTGCCTGCATCTCCTTATGTTCAAATGCTCATTTTTCAAGTTTAGGCTGAAATGGAACCTCTTCCATGAAGCCTTCCTTGATATTGCCCTCACTCTATCCTATCCCAACTGGAAAAACACTGTCTTTCCTCTGATCTTGAAAAACACTTCATCTGTCTCTAGGGATCCCTTAGGATAGAGGTGCTGTTAACATACTGTCATATGCTTGGTGGTTAAGAGCTTGGGCCTGGATCCAGACTTGCTGGACTTTGAGTTCTAGCTCCTTTCCTTCCCATCTTTGCACGCTGGGCCTCAGTATCTGTATCTGTAAAATGGGGATAAATAAACAGCACCCACTTCCTGTAAGTTGTGACATTTAAATGAAGAATTTTCAGCCCTTTTTCTGATGCCTGGCATGAGGAGGCCCGATAATTGCTAGTGATCATTAGAATCACCATATTCTCTCTTTCATTCTCATTCACTATATGCATTTTTTAAAAAAATCCCTCCCTCAACTCCAGGAGTTCCTTTAGGTCTGTGGCTATGATCAATTTTTAATCTTATAGAGTCTTGCAAATAGTGAGTATTCCAGATGTGTTTCTCAAAGCAATGTTCTCCCAGCCTTCGAACAAGTTCAGGGCCCCCAGAGACAGAGGCTTTTTTAGCTCTAGCCTCTCTCTTCTCCAGCGTTAGGGACCAAATTGTGTCATCCTTTACCCCCTCCCCCCAGAACTCATATGTTAAAATCCTAATGCCCAGTACCTCAGACTGGGGCTGTATTTGGAAACAGAGTCTTTAACAAGGTACATTAGGTAAAATGAGGTCATACGAATGCATCTGAATGCAATATAACTGGGGTCCTGCTACAAGAGGAAATAAGGACCCAGACACAGCCAGAGGGAAGACTGCGTGAAGACACTGGGAGAAAACACCGTCTAAAAGCCAAAAAGAGACCCTTAGAAGAAACCAATCCTGACGTCACCTTAGTCGTGGATTTCTAGCTTCCAGAACAGTGAGAAAATAAACTCCCGCTGTTTAGACCATGCGGTCCATGGTATTTTGTAATGGCAGCCCTGGCAAATGGATACGCTCCGCCACCCTATTTTCTCCCATCATGAAAAGGCTTCCCCTTCCATCTGAAACCCTTCAATACATTGCCAGGTCCCTCTTCCCTGATTGTGTCCAGGTGTTACGACTGCCTGTGAGGCAGTGGTCCTTCTCCTGTGGGAGTTTTATTGTTGTTGTTGTTTGTTTGTATACATCGAACATGGATTTCTGTGTTCTCGACCCCGTATTTTTCAAAGCATGTTCCATGAGAAGCTCATTAGTGCTGCTGAGAAAGGGGTTTCCGAAGTCACAGCCTAGGTTCTGGGGTGCCATTCCAGGCTGGTTAGCACTGCAGGACTCAGAGCCCTACAGATCTTCAAGGAGGGAAAGAGCAGGAGACATTCCTCAAATCCATGTGACCACAGAATCCTCTTTTCACTGAGCATCTCTTGGGACGAATACCAACTGCCCCCCAACTACAGCAGCTCAAATATGCAGCCCATAATGATGAGACTCCTTGGACAGGGAGACACACGGCTGAAAAAGATTTCAAGTTTGTGAAGTAGTCAGGCCCCTCGAAGTACCCCACTGGGACATTCCCGAAAATCAGGGCAGTAGAGCTGGAAGGGAACTCAAGATTATTTTGTCCAACTTGAAGAAGAGGGAACCAAGGCCTGGAGACATGATAGGGTTGGCTGTCCAAGGCCATAGCCAAGGGGGAGTCACTAATGCCCTAGGACTCATCCTTGTGAATGGTCTTCAGGCAACTTGCCGCTGCATAAAACGTGAGACCCCGTGAACCAGTGTTGGTCTTAAACACAACCTTCTAGAGTTCTTCTGGTGTCATCCTTTCTGATGAAGGTGAGAGGTACCTTCAGCCTGGAGACGAACTCCCCCGCTGCCATGCTGGGCCTTCTCCTGATCCAAGGCTCTGCTCCATCTTACTCACCGAAAGCCCTGAAAAGTCCAGTGGCCCTAAGTCTAGTTTAGGGGTCTGGCCTGGCTGATCCGTTCATTATAGTGTGCGAGCAAACACTCAGGCTTTGAAACTGGGTTCAAATCAGAATCACCACTTACTCACTGTGTGAAAATAAATACGCCGCAGAGCCTCACTCTAGAAGGTGGGAAGTAACAGATAAATTGATTGCAGCTAATTCAACAGGCGGGAGGAATGGGTTTAGCCTGGGGCCTGCACACATCAGACCTCATTAAACATTGGTTTCCTTCCTTCCTCTGAAACTAGGGATCCCTCAGTGAGACTATGAAATCCTGAAGCGCAGGAACTACTGCTTGAATCTTGGCCAGTGTCAATCAACCGGTAAAGGTAATGCCCCCAGCAAGAAAGCACTGACCTGCTGTACCCCATCTCCTTCCCTTCTCTTCAGGATGTTTCCTTACCAGCCAGTGTTCACACGACCTTCCACAGATCAAGGAACCTTGGAGTAGGACAATGAATGAGGGCCAAGACGCTGGTTTGGAAGCAGTTTTAATGGAGATGGAAATGTTTATCAACTCAACACAGGTACCCCAAAATACAAAGCAAAATATCATCTTCAGCTGCATAGCAAATATGATTTAAGAATTTAACATCATTATTTGATCACAAGCGTAAATATAAGTCACCATAAATAAATGTAAATTCATTGTACAAAAATCCCCAACAACTCTTAATACAAATATGGTACATTTGACAGTTTCTGAAACAGAATTTTTTTTTAAAACTTTTTAAAACCTAAGATTTTTTTTTTTCCTGGTTCTTAGACACACACACAAAAAAATCAAATCAAAGGGAGCAGGAATACCAGGGAGGAAAGAATATTAAACCTGTTTGGTATTCATAAATGAATGCGCCAGCGAGCTAGGGAAGTCAAATGTCTCTCCTTAAGGTGAAGACCTCAATTTACCAGGGTCAAGTCTCTTTAAGATAACAGGATTCTATCCAGGGGTCAGATTCAGGGTTATAGACGCAGGATGGAGGGGCAGGTTGTTGAAACAGCAATCCCACCAAATGGATGATCCAAATCTCCACCAAAGCAGTGGGCAAGGATTTGGAAGAAACTCTAGGACTTAAGAGCGGGTCATCTGTCTGAAAGACCCACTGTCCGCACACAGGACTAAAGATTCAGAAGACTCTGGAGCTTAAAGATTTTACCTGGCTTTGGAATGAGGGTTCTATCATATGGTGTAGCCTCTCCCTTCTGCCTTTGGGACATATCCAAGGTCATCAAGAGGAATAAACAACAACAACAACAAATCAGAATAGGAAGCGACATCTCTAGACAGGGGGATCTGCCGGTTCCCACACTGAATTGTTCTCCTGCCCCTACCAATATTTTCTTTCCTGGCTCAGAGGGAGCTCAGGGCCCAGGCTCTCGAAGGAGAGACCCTCCACAGCAGCCATCCTCAGATTTCCATGGGCAACAGAACAGCTCAGAAAGTTTGTGCAAGGTGCAGATTTCCCTACCTGATTCCCAGGGATGCAGACTTAACTGGTTTGGGGGAGAGCCCAGAAATCTGCTCCAAATGCACTAACCTCAGAACATCCTGCTGGAGGCCTTTGGGCCACACGTGGTGAGTCCCATCTCTCTCCTCCCTGGGGAGCACAGTGTATCACAAAAACCTGCTATAGACTGTTTCTGCCCTTTCCATGGGTTAAAATGGGCCATCTGAATGATGGTAACCATTTCCATTCATCCGCCCTGAGGGAGGGGATCATTGTTGCTCTATTTTCACATTTTTCTTTTTTGTCCCTGGATTCAGGGAGAGATATCAAATGTCTCACTTTATATTTTCTTACAAGCTCAGGGTCACAGGCTCCCTTTGAAGAAGAGGAGCTCTGTAATGAGACATTCATTCCCAAAGGCGTCCATCCTTCTCAACAGTCTCCCCATGCTCGGTGGGAGATTCTGCAAAGACTTTGGGTTCTGTTGGAGAAATGGAAGTAGACAGGCCCCTGTGATAGGCGTATGCCTCGAAATCTAGGTTAAGGAACACTGGGGATGTTGAGAGCAGAAGATAAAATATCCTAAGAATTTCTCAGCTTCTAGGACAGTGTAAGTCCCGATTCACTAAAACAGGACTTCTTTTCTGGAGTGTATCCTGGTATTAAAAACTCATTGACAAGGACTATTTATATTCCTCACCCCCCTGACCCAATACATTTTGGGCTGCTGTTGAAATAACCCCTTAATATTTTCTTTCTCGTGGGAGCTTTCCTTGATGAGAGAGTGTGCAGAGAAGCCGTCCCGAATGTGGTCACCGGAGGCTGCTGTGGGCAGCACGTGCCTGACTTGTCCAGGGCTGTGGTCCCACCGTCCGCGGCCCTGGGCACCTTGCTGCTCACATTATTTGCTTCATGAATACGGAACCACCTCGTCATCAAACTGAGATGGTCCCACAGCTTTCTGTCTGGGGCAACGGAATTTCTGGCTATGTCAATAAACATTGCTTCCGCACAGCAGGCAGGACCACCTTTCTACCCGAATTCCAGTCAGTGAGACACGGTTGTGAATGTGTTTCTGAGTCCTCTCTAGGAGCGCCCTGAGAGGGGAGTGTGTTTTGGGGGAGTCCGGGGAAGGCCAGAGCCAACACCATCTACCATGGTGCCAGTACCAGGAAGCTTGTCTTCTGTTTCCTGTGGCTCTCAGCGGCTGGTCCACAAGTATTGTTGAGGTCGAATCCTCAGCATCCAGAGTAGGAGGAGAGGCTGCCTGGGAAAATGGGGGCTGGGGGAAGAGGCACAGGAAATGAAGAAGCCAGGAAGTGGAGACACGCCTGTCAGGTCGGGCTGATATCTGATATCTTGGGGTACGGCCACGCTCTTTTCTCCATCTCTGAGACTTCACTCTGAGGTCGCACGTGGGCCCTGGGAAAGAGGTCACCATCCAGGAGGAGGTCTTGAGAAGCAACCATGGATGTGGGGTGGGGCTGTGAGATGGAGAAGGGGTGAAACTAGGGCTCTTAACACGGCTGAGGGGAAAAAAAAGAAAAGAAAAGCACATACTGCCCTGTTTCTTTTCATTTTTTTTTTTTTTTCATTGATGCTATGGAAAAACCACCATGGAGATGTCATGGGACAGCATGCACAGGCCCAGCCCTTGGGAGGCGTAGATGTGTTTGGGGAGGTTCTTATTTGCTTCCAGGCTGATCCCCTATGCTGTCCAGCCGGACCCTGCTGCAGGCTGGCCATGGCTTTCTCTCTCCTGCTTCTTCTCCTCCTCCAGGTCAAGGGTCTGCAGGCCCTTCCACCTAGCAGGTCGTGGCCAGGGACTGGTGGATGGGTGGCTGGAAGCAACGCACGTGCTCTACGGTGGAACTGTCTGTCTCCACGGACTTCATGTACTTGTTCAGGATGGCAAAAACCTCATTGTTCAAGATCTGGTACTTCCTAATTCTGTCTGCCATCTTCTTCAGGGGCTGCAGAAGGACAGGGATGTGCAGGTTTGGGGCAGGAGGAGGGGACAGAGAAATAAAAAGCAAGAGCAAGAAAATGCAGTGAGGTTGGGGTCCTGGGTCCCGAAGCTTCGATGATCATGTCACTCTCTTGCTTATAGGCCTTCTGTGGGTTTCCAGAGCTTAGCAGTCAAATGTTAACTTGGCCATAAAACCCTTTGTGAGTTTCAAGATTTACTACCAGGCCCTAAAACTCTTTGTGAGTTTCAAGACTTACTACCAGGCTACAATAATCAAAACAGTATGGCACTGGCATGAAGATAGGCCTATTGATCAATGGAATAGACAGTCCAGAAATAAACTCTTCCATTTATGGTCACATGAATTTTCATAAGGGGGCCCCAAACATTCAATGGAGAAGGGGTGGTGTTCTCAATAATTTGTGCCAGGGGGGCAGGAATGGCCAGCAAGCTCTAGGAGGATCTCTTTACAGGAGAGATACGGTATGCTAATCTGCATGTTCTACGAGCTCTGCTAAACATAGCCTAGGGGACAATGCATACATCTCTTTAGATCACAGGGTGGCTGTTTGGGCTAAGAAAGCTTGGGAAGGCAACTCCCCACGGGCATTCCTACCACTGCTTGGTCACGCAGGCCTCTGCATTCCAAAGGCCTACATCCTTCTCCAAAAGCTTCCATTGCCCCCAGTGGCCTCCATTATAAGTAACACAGTGGCCTTGTGTTACATTTCAGCAAGCCCGGTATTCTGGATGACGACATGCTCTACATTAGCCCCAACATTGGGAAAACTGGATATCCACATGCAAAAGAATGAAGCTGGATCCTTACCTTATATAATATACAAAAAAATCCCCTACAACAACAGCAACAACAACAACAAACTTCAAAATGGTTTAAAGACCTAAACATAGGATCTAAACCGTAAAACTCTTAGAAGAAAACACAGAGGAAAATCTTCATGACATTGAATTTGGCAATGGTTTCTTAGCTATGACACCAAAAGCCCAAGTAATAAAAGAAAACGTAAATTGGACCACATCAAAATTAAAGACTTGTCTGCAAAAAGGATACTATCGACAGAGTGAAAGGGCAACGCACGGGATGGGAGGAAATGTCTGTAACTCGAATATTGGATAAGGGATTAATATCCAGATATATATAAAAAACTTCTACACCTCGACAACAACCCAGTTACAAAGCGAACAAAGGACTTGAATAGACGTGTCTCCAAAGAAGACAAATAGCCAATAAGCAGGTGAAAGGACGCTCGACATCACTAGTCGCTAGGGAAATGGGAATCAAAACCAGAACGAGAGAGCACTTCACATCCATTACGATGGCGAGGACCCCAAACCCCAGAGAGCAAGTGCTCGGAAGGCTATGGAGAAACTGGAACCCGCGTGCATTCCTGGCGGGAATGTAAAGCGGAAACAGTATGGCAGTCCCTCAAACACAAAAAATGGAATTAACATGTGATCCGGCAAGTCCACTTGTAGGCAGATACCCAGAAGCAATGAACACAGGGGCCTGAACAAGCATCTGTACGCCCACGATCCCAGCAGCGTACTCACAAGAGCCAAAAAGTGGAAGCAGCTCAAGTTCACTGAAGGAGGAGTGGGTAAATGTAACGTGATGTAGACATATAATGGAACATTACTCAGCCTTCAAAGGGAAGAAATTCTGACGCAAACTACCACATGGTGGCCTCAGGCACGTCACGCTTAGGGAAACAAGCCAGCCATGAAAGGATAAAGACTGCAGAACTCCTCTAATCTGAGGTTCCTAGAGTAGTCAAATCCTAGAGACACACAGCGGAAGGGTGCCTACCGGAGGCCTGGGGGAGTGGAGTTAGTGTTTGATGGGCGCAGCGTTTCTGTTTGGGAAGCTGAGAATGTTCTGGAGGGGAATGGTGGGATGTACACATACACTGCACTGTACATGTAATGATGGTTAAAATGGCAACGTTTCCGTTTATGTATGTCCTACCACAACAGCAACAAAACACAACAAAACAAAAAACACCCCTTTAAGAGGTAGTTCCTGCTTCCTTCTCCTTTCAGCTGGTCCCGGAGACCCACTCTTTGTTGCAGCCGTTCCCCCTCAAGTCTCTGAGCCTTTGCGGTAGCTAGCTGTTCCCTCTGGAAGAGCACCCCCAGCCTGCACCCCATTTTTGGCTGGTTATTGGCTGGTGGTTATTCTGGACTCAGCCCAAGCATTGCCTCCACAGGAAGCTCCTCTCTGGCCACCGTCCCCACCTATCCTCTGGGCCCAATTTAGATCGCCCTTCTCAGTGCCCCCACAGCAGCCCCACTTACCCCATGGCAACGCTCCTCCCAAACCCGTGCCTGCACTTCCGTGTTCAGTCAGAGTCTGTGTGCACGAAGCGCCAGCATCGGCGGTCTGACCGGCACAGGGAAGGGGTAACTCAGGTCTGGAGCCGGGCCCAGCCCTGCAGGGTGGCCTGATTCATCCCAGCAGGTTATGAGCAAGTGACTCAAGGCTTCTGACGAGAAGGTCCCTGGCTGCTGAGCATCTTTGTACCTACCCGTGGTGCGGGGACTTGGCCTCCGTAAGCAGCTCGCCCTCTTTTTCAGATGAAAGCCTGCTTGTCAGGCCTGGCCCAACTTCCCAGGCCCCAGCCCGTGGCTGCTTACCACATTCTTAATGACCTCATCCTTCCCGTCCTGCCTCTGGACTTTCAGCAGGTGGTAACAGAAGTCAAACAGGTCGAAGCGACGTTGCTGGCCCAGCAGGACGATGATGGAGCAGCCGGCCCAGTTCAAACCATCACCAAAACATTGCCTGGGAGTGGGGAGAGGAAGCAGCTGGAGTGAGGGGCACAGGAGGGTGAGGGAAGGCCCTCATCTTGGGCCAGGAGTACAGAGAGGGAGTGAGCCAGTCCCGGGGCCAATCCTCTTAATCTGTAAAGTGGGTACAAGGGAAGATGCAAGTGTACATTCATTTGTTCCAGGGACCATGGTTATAAGTCCCTCTAGCCACAAAGAGGTGTCAGCCTGTTAGCCACTGATGTAAGAAAAAGAAGACAATTTTGCAGGGAAAAGATTCAACTAGTCCTTGAGATTTCTGCGGCTGATTAGAATTCCGATGAGATTCTGTCCCGCCTCTGTGAAGGAGCCAGCAAATGCTTGGGAAGGAAGGACCTTCTGAAACCAGAAGCCCAGGTGGCCCATGTAGGCTGAGAGGGTGGGGACAGGGTGTGGAGTGCTGGGGTGTGGGGTCTGGGAGCGCTCTCGGCCTGGCGGAGCTCGGCCGATTCTCTGCCAGCTCTCACCGGCATCCTGGGCAAGTCCAGAGGCTGTGGGGTCATCTCTCTGCTGTTTTTCTTATCCTCAAGCAGCAGCTACAGCCCAGCGGGCAAGTTTCCTTGCATCCCCATCAGTCTGGCTAGAAGTACAGGCCCAGCAGCTGCTCTGAAAACAGCTGGCCCAGCCCAGCCTAGCCCCAAAACCACTTCCTCAGGGAAGCCTTCTCTAGCCCTCACTGGCTTGTTCTCAAGAGCTCTTGGCTCCTGGATGGCAGGATTGGTGTCTAAGCACTGGTGTCTGTCCAGCACCTCGCACATCATAGGTCTTCCATAAACAGCTGGTGGGCAACCCACCCCTGCTCCCCATTCTAGTTGAGCCCTGGTAGCCTAGAGACTCTTGGTGAGAGGAGACGTGCAAACTGGGCAGTGAGCCAGCATTCCTTGGGGGTACTCACTCAGCTGTGAACTCGTTGGTCCCCACGGGGATGCAGTAGACGAACTGCATGGCACTCCAGAGCCGGTGGAACTCCACGCACTCGTCGACGTGCATGACGCCGTTGGTGGGTGGGGGGCCCCGCCAAATGGGGTCTTGCAGGTAGCTCCGAATGCGTGTCAGGATGACCTCGAACATGGACAGGCCACAGCACAGCCGCTCCTTGGTCAGCAGGTCGCCCTCCCGAGCGATGGCGATTTGCTGGGAACAGAAAAGTGCATCAACCATTTATCCTCACCCCAGACCTCACTTTCTACCTCTCACCAGAGATTCCCATACCCCGGAGCTGGCTGTATCTGGCATTCACTCACCAGTGTGGATATCTTGCCCAGAGCTGGGCACTAACTTTGTAAGCCCTCATGCAATAGAGGGATCTTGTGGTAAGACTTACTTGGGGCAAGTGAAATCTAGGTGGCATCAAGGAGTAAGAGTCAAACTAAAAAAAAATTCAGTCTACCACATAATGAAATGCCATATACCTACTGCAAAGACAGATGCTACTACTACTAGTTCACACTCGCTGAGTGTGTGTACAATACATCAGGGCCAAATTCCTCACGTCAACACCATGAAATCGGTGCCATTGTTATCCCCATTTGACAGATAAAGAGACTGAGGTTCAGAAAGGGAGCCACTGAATGGTAAAAGGGGGCATTTGAATCCTGATAGTCTAGATGTACGGGTTAAATTCTTAAGTGAATATAGAGCAAATTTCAGAAAAGCTTGTATACTACAGTCCTATTAAAAACATCAACAACATAAAAAAAATTTAAAAAGCCAGAAACATCAACAACATGCAATCACACAGACAAACAAACAAAGCCATATGTGAGGTGTGTGTTTCTGTGTGTCTAAACTCGTTTAGAAGGAAACATCAACTGTGGGAGCAGATGGGATTGGATAAACAGGCAGGGTTTTCACTTTTTACTTTAAATACTTTAGCACAGTTGAATGTTCTGCAGTAAGCATATGTTACTCTTAAAATCTGCCACTGATTTTACAGCATCATTTCCTCCCATTAGAAGTCCTCTGACCATCATAAACTATCTCTGTCAATAATTTAAACTAGTTTCGCACCTGGGTCCTGGTTATTGCATCTCTAACAATCAGATGGCTAGACCAGCACATCAAAACACATTACTGTCTGCATTATGAGCAAAAATGCCTAGGGGTAGAGGTCTCAAAACCACCTGCAAATAGTAGATAGATATTAAAATCTGAGGTCAAAGGAAGGTCTCCAAATCTAGGGACAAAGCTAGAGAAGGCCGGCCTCGGAGATGGAGAGGTCCACGGGGCGCTGGTGGGGTCAGCTCCCCAGAGGGAAGTCTCCTCAGAGAGCTCATGTTACAGAGTGCCTGCGGGGGGGCACCTGACTTTCCCCTGTGAGTTCCGTCCTGGAGCCCCCAGAAGGAGGGCAACCTTTAAATTAATCCACAGAGGGAAATAAATCAGGAAGCACAACATGAGAGCCTGTTAGGAAAATGGGCCAGGAGCTCAGTTGTCATGACAACTATAAACTGAGAGAAGTCCAGGACAAAACCGTGAATTGGGGAAGATGAGTTTGACAATGTGTTTCAAGCATGAAGCAGAGGGAACTCTGATTCATGGTGATGCATCTTGCTTCCCGAGGCAGAGAAAGCTCCCGAGCAGAGAAGAGATCATTCAGGTTGCCACAGGTGGCTAGAAATAGGTCTTTTAAAAAAAATCCTGAGCCATGGGGAGCCTGGGTGGCTCAGTGGGTTAAAGCCTCTGCCTTCGGCTCAGGTCATGATCCCAGGGTCCTGGGATGGAGCCCCACATCGGGCTCTCTGCTCAGCAGGGAGCCTGCTTCCTCCTCTCTCTCTCTGCCTGCCTCTCTGCCTACTTGTGATCTCTGTCTGTCAAATAAATAAATAAAAAATCTTAAAAAAAAAAAAATCCAGAGCCTAGTGCTTGATTCTGTTCTTACCAGGCAACACTCTGTGCTGGTATTTGGACCCTGAAAGGCCTCTCCACTCAGAGTGTGCCAGGTGCAAGGAAGATGGTCAATAAAAACATAAAGGACCCATATTTGTTCGCAACTCATGAATATTCTTCTTTGTAAATTAACACACAGACTTCTGGTTTAAGAATTAATCTCCTGTGCATCTAGTTAGTGGGAATCAATCCCCAAGGCCTGACAATCGTGGTAGGGAACTAAAAATTAGCCATGGGGTTTACAAATCTGCAGATAGACTTGGAACTCTTGTGACCTCCCACGACAGCCAACCAAAAAGGGCCCCCGACAGAACACGTCCAGGGGCTTTGCTGTTCCTCAGAAAAGCGTTCACCCTTCAGTTTCTCCTGGGAACTGGAAAAGTAACACAGTAGCTTGGGTCAATATGGAAAAACACTTCCAAAAAGTCAATAAGAAAATAAAAATCTCCCACAAACGCCATTACCTAGAAATGAGGTTTCTTAGGATACTGATCTATGATTTGTGTTAATGTATGTGAGTGTGCGTACACATCTACAGCTAACAATTTGGATCAGATTATCTTGCTTTTTTTTCTCTTCAGATAGCAGCAATCTACAAAGCCATTTCCTTCAATATTTTCAGTAACATAATTTTCTAATGGCTACAGAAAGTGGCCACTGATAGAGCCACCATTTATCGAGTCTTCTATGCTTAATGGCTATTTTTAAGTGTTTACAATTTTTCATTATTACAGATAATTCTTAAGCAACCGTCCTCATACGCAACCCTTTTTAAGCTTGTCTCTGATTATTTGTTTAGGATTAAATCCTAGAAATAGAATTCTGCAGTTGAAGTGGGTACATATTTTAAAAGGCTTTTGCAACATAGTAGCAAACTAGTCTGAAGGAAAGCTGAGCCACTCTGTACCATCCCCTTCTTATAACTTCCCTAGCTCTCTCTTATCAGTAAGGAAAGTTCTCTGCCAACTTGAGGGATGAAAAATTATACCCCTTCTTCTAATTTCCATTTTAGTGATTGCTGGTAAGGCTGAACACTTTTGCTGTTTTTTAGGGTGTGAGTTTTCTTCCGTGTCCTTTTTCCTTTGGGTAGGTCTATCCTTCCCTTCTTGCTTTGAAAAAGTGCATTGAACTGTTTGCAGCAAAGGCCCCCACTTTGTGACTTGGTGTTATATACATATATATTGTGCGTGTTTCACATAAATTTCATCCATTTCTTTTCTGTTCTACTCAGTGCAGGATTTTTCTCTCTTTCTGCCATACTTTTCTGAATTAACAAGAGAACAAAAAAAGCATCTGTGAAAATAAACGTGGAAATACATTTCTGCATGGAATACTTTGATTACATTTAGTACACTCTGGAGGAAAATGATAGCTCAACAATCCTTTCTATAATGCCTGTGTTTTTTGAAAAAATTTTTTTTACTCATTTTTGTTCATCATGACATTCATGAAAGGCAACAAAGGCAGCAAAGCAGCTCTTAGCCCATTTCACAGGTGGGAAGACAAAGACTGAGATAGTAAGTGGCTAGCCCCAGATTGTGCATCAGTTCAAGTGTGAAGCTGGGACAAGAACCCCTGTCTTCTGACCTCCTGCCAGAATGTGCTTTCCATGAGAGCACCTATGTCCCAGAAATAAATGGAAATAGGGCAATACCATTAAAACCTCTTGACTTTAAACTACGTGGCAGAATCTCCCTGTCTTGGACTGAGATATTACGTAAGTCCCCTACACTCCAGTGAGCGTGGAAGGTAATATTTGTTAACTTTTCTTTGGTCTATGGGACGAAAGTTTCCTTGAGGGCCAGTGAATAGAAAACTGGTACTTCCTTTGCAGCAGAGCGTCTAGGCTTTTGTTTGAGAAAAACTCGGCATTTGACAAATTGAGATTTCTATCCATCCCAAGGAAACTGTGTTCACCAGAACAGGGAAGGAATTCATAGTCTCCTAAGTGGAAACACATGCCAAACCCTGGGTGCGAGAGGCCAGATTCTTGTAGGATGACACCAACGGCAGAGCAGACACATTTCTATGTCGCTGGCTTGGGGGATTTCTCCCTAAAAGGAAATCTTTCGAGGACTCCTCTGTTCAGCCTCTGAAGGCCAAAAAAGAAAATGCGTGCACTCCACAGGGTCTGAAATCTCTCTGTGGTGACTCAAAGAACCCAAATACCACTGAACATTTAGTCACTGTTTGCAGGAGGAAGTGGGTGGCACGCAGGTGGTCTGGCGAGTGTTGCTGATCGGGGAACACCTGAGCGGATCTCGTCCTCAATGTGCTCCAGATACTTGCCCTGATTTCTGAGTGAACAGGCTGCCTTCTGCCCCCTGCTGAGGATCTGAGCCCTTCAGGCTCCTCTGCTTTTGTGATGAGAGCAGAGAGGAGCCCCAGAATGGAAGTTCAAGTACAGATTTGAATCCTAACCCTTCTACACAGTTGGCAAAGGCAGGAAACAGACCACCCCAGCTTGTCTCACCACAGTGCCCCATTTCTCTTTCTCAGAAATTTCTCCCCTGCCCACCTCCCTAAAATGGGAAGATTACTCAAATCACTGTGAACAGAGACCCAGCACATGCTTTTGGCCACCTCCCTCCTCTTTTCTCTTCCTTCCTGACTCCTGCCACAGTCTGAGTTCTCTGAGGCAGGGGTCCTTCCCCACTTGTCTCCATGGTCAGAGCAATACTGGTTTGTAAAATTTAAGTTTATATTCCAAGATTTTATTTTAAGTAATCTCTACACCCAACGTGGGGCTCAAACTCACAGCCCCGAGATCAAGAGTCATGTGCTTTACAGACTAAGCCAGCCAGGTGCCCCGTAAAACTTAATTTTAATTATAGAATTAGCCTATGAGCTTATTCACTTTGGAAAATATTTGAACACTACAGAGAAAGCTGAAGTCTCCTGACCCAGGAGATCATCCCATCGCTGTCTCTCTCATCTCTCTTCAGAGGGTCCTGCCATAAGGAACCATAAGTATTATCATGTTTTAGGAATAGTTTCACTGGTAGGGTTTTTGTATGTTTTTTTTCTCCTAACCACATGCTTACGGTCTGTCCACACTGATGCACCCAGACCTCATCTTTCCTTTCCATTATTATGTACCAAGTAGTCAACGTTTAGATAACTTTTCCACATTTTATAGTCAATCCTTTACTGGTTGTCTCTAGTTTTTGCCTTAATGAACAATGCTACAGTAAACATCTGTGTTCTTGCAGGTGTTTTTCTAGCAAAGATACCCAGAAATGAACTGCTTCTGGTTCTCAGGGTGTGTGGAGTTTTAATTCTGAGAGTTGACTTAGCAGAATTCTTGATATCGAACAGGATCATAACAGATGCTTGTCTGACTTCCTTCTTATTTGACACAATAGCTGATAGATGGCATAGAAGAAAGAACTCAGGCCTGGGAAATAGCAAATCTCCTTCCAGACCCGACCCTGCCACTAACAGGCTTTGTAGACATGCTTCCCTACCCTCTCTGTGGGCCTCAGTTTCCCAGTCTGTAAAATGAAGGGGTTGGACCAACTGCTCTCCCTCTCAAGTTCCTGTTGGTTCTCAGAGTCTGGGGCAGAAGGGTCCTACCTGGGGGGTCCCCAGCCGCTCTATCAGAGGGACGAGGTGAAGTGGGGCATACTTGGCTTCCAGGCGTTTCATGCGGACCTCCAGACGCTCCCCTTCTGCAAAAGAAGCAGCAGAGCAGAAAATGAGACTCAGGGTACCCCGGGGGAAACTGAGGAAGGGAAAACTCTCAGAGGACCACTGACCAATCTGTGCTCCCAAACTTGGACGGACTGTGCGGAACTGCTCTCCTTTGTTCTAAAGTGTGATTCAGAACTCACTACAAGGAAAAACATTCTGGTGTCTGTCCAATGACAGAATTATCAGCCTTATGGGGTGGTGAGTTCCCCATCATTCGGAAGAGTTAAACCAAGGCTAGACAGGAATGCACTAGGAATGATCTAGAAGGACCAAGGAACGAGGCCTGAAATGTCACTTCCAACGCTGCGATTCTATGAATATTGAAGAGCTGCCCAAAGCTTTATTTAACCTTTTCCCTTTCTGATGGCAGATCTGAGTTTATTGGGATTAAGTGAGTGTCAAGTTCAAAGGCAAGCTGGCTATTTAGCTGTTGTTAGTGGTTTCTTACCTTTGATGTAGACTCTAGGCAAGATATTTTGGAAGGGTGCAGCATGGAGCAAATCACAGACTTCCTCCTGAGACTGCAAACAGAGATGGAAGGAAAGAAAGGAAAAACAATTCTCATTTTCTTTTATTTATTTAAAGATTTTATTTATTTATTTGACAGAGAGAGATCACAAGTAGGCAGAGAGGCAGGCAGAAGCAGAGAAAGGAGGAAGCAGGCTCCTTGCTGAGCAGAGAGCCCGATGTGGGGCTCGATCCCAGGACCCTGGAATCATGGCCCAAGCAGAAAGCGAAGGCTTTATTTAACCCACTGAGCCACCCAGGTGCCCCAACAATTCTAATTTTAAACCATGAAGAATTTTCATTCCTAGAACTTTGAGCACCACAGTCAGCCAGGGTTCGAATTATGGCTTCTCCTCTTACTAGCTGTGGCACCTTGGACAAGTTGCTTAACCTCTTTGAGCCTATTTGTCTGCAAAATGAGGACTAGAATAGTACTTATTTAATGAGTTTTTGTAAAGATTGAGTGAGAGAATGCATAACCTTTTAGCATAACCCCTGACACATAATGAGTGTGCAATGCACTTCCATTATAATCTTATGAAGAATCTGTGGAGGATTTCACATGAGTGACAGAGGAATGGAACAGAGCTGATGAGCCCAGACTGGGCTGTGAAGCCTGTAGGCTCAAAGTAGGCAGCTGGGCCAATCTGCCAACCCACCATGTAGACGACCAACTACTGAGAAAAGAGAAACTAAAACCCAGGACAGATGGGTTTTGATGGTGACTTGTTGTGCAAATAAAGTGAGCTTTACAACCACTTGAAAAGAGGGAAACACCTGGGAAGGACAGGCCTGGGAGATAGAGTCTAATGGGCTTGCTGTCCCAGGGCCAGTTTGTGATCACTGGATTTCAGAACAGAGGATGGGGTAAGGGGACTTAGAGAAGCCACCCTCCATGACTCTTGGTTTCTCTTCCTTAAACTGTGGGGATTTGGACTAGGTAAGATCCAGACTTCATTCAGGTCTGGCACTCTTGGATCCTTAGCATCTGAGAAAATCAGGATTGTGAGTGCTCGTGGTTTGCCTTCTCCACATGGGTGGAATGCGCCGCCCTAGAAATCTGGAAGGCTGGCCGCTCACGGTGGGGAACCTCCAAACTCCTTTTTTACTCTGGGTCACTCCTTGAAGTGAGGCTAGCAGAGCAAAAACGAGTGAACCCTTCAAAGGGCCCTGCCTGAGTGTCATTCTTAATTTCTTACCCAGAGGGGAAATTTTCCCTCTTTTTTAAGCTATGTCTCTCGTAACCAGTATATCAAATAACCTGGTATTGATTGCTATTTCTAAACATAGACCCTTGGATTCATCATATAATCTAAAACTTGGCTTATTGGTCATGATATTCTTTAATTCACTAATTACGCTGATTGATTTTCAATGAGGAACCAGCCTTGCATTCTGGGCATAAACCTCACATGGTTGTGATTCATGATGCTTTTAATATATTGTTAGAATTGATTTGCTAATATTTTGTTGAGGATATCTACTCTATATTCATGAGAGGCACTGATTTGCTGTTTTCTTTTCAAGTGTCTTTGATCTTGATAATAGGATAATGCTGATCTTGTAAGATAAATTGGGATGAGTTCCCCTCTTTTCTGTATTTTGGAAACAATTGTGAACTGTTACTATTTCTTCCTGAAATGTTCGGGAGAATTCACAAGTGAAACCATCTGCATGTGTAGTTTTCTTTGTTGAAGTTTTTTTGTTTTTTGTTTTGTTTTTAAATTAGAAATAAGATTTCTTTAATAGATGATTCAGGATACCAATTTTTTTCTCAAGTGAGTTTTGGGGGTTTATATGTATCAAGGACATGGCTCCTTTCACCAATCCCAAACTCCAGACTTGTCTATCCAGTTCCTTGCTGGATATCACCACTTGGATATTCCACACGTCATTTCCAAAGTTGACCCTTTCCCCCCTTCCTCCCTAGAGTTCCTCTGCTCACAGAACCACATGACCATCTCCTTACCTGACCAAGCCTAAAACCTGGGGCTCACTTCCTCTCTCTTCTTCACTTCCTATGACCATTAAATCCTCATGTCTCTGGCTTCTTTCCACATTCCTTCCCACTGGCCACCACAACACTCTGAGCTCCTTTATGCGTCGGGATGCTGTCTCTAATTTTGCCTCTAACATCCCCTAGGATGTAACAGTTTCTCAATAATTATTGATTAATGAATGCATATTTGTTAGCTCATATTTTTCTTAGATGAATAAATTTATTTAGCCACATATTTAGCCTCCAAGTATGAGAATACCATTACATCCATTCATCCAGCAAATACTGGTTGAGTGTCTGGCACTGTTCTAGGCTTTGCAGATATGATGTTGAACACGTTAGACTGGATCTTTGCCCTCATGGAATTTATGTTCTAGTTGATGGAGACAGATAAAAGCAAGCAAACAAATCAGAAAAGTTCCGATAGTGATGAAAGAAAACAGGGTAATAGGCTAGAGAGGACTGGGAATGGAGAGGGGACTGTTTAAGGAAGGGTGATTAGGAGAAAACTTTGGAGGGAGAGACTTTTGGAAGATGGAATGAAGCGAGGGAACCAGCCATGCAGATTTGAGGTCAGAGCATTCCAGTACAAAGGCCCTGGGGCAGAAAGTAAGCCAGAGCATAGTATGCCATGCTGGAAATCATGGTCCAGCCTGAGGCGCTAATGATAGGGAGGGACCGCATCATGTGGGGTCATAGGCATGGTATGAAGTCTGGATTTTATCTTAAGTGCAGTGAGGAACCATGGAGGTATTTTAAACAGAGGACTGGTTATGATAGCTCCACTGACAAGTCTTCCTATGTTTCCTCTTTTCTTCCAAAAATTTCAGTTGTCCCTAGAAATTTTTTTTTTTTAAGATTTTTCTTTATTTATTCAACAGACAGAGATCATAAGTAGGCAGAGAGGCAGACAGGGGGGGGGGAAGCAGACTCCCTGCTGAGCAGAGAGCCTGATGCAGGGCTCGATCACAGGACCCTGAGATCATGACCTGAGCCAAAGGCAGAGGTGTAACCCAATGAGCCACCCGGGCGCCCTAGAAATTTCTTACTAGAAAAGCTGCTCATTGCATGAACTTACTAGAAAAGTTGCCTATCGCATGAACTATCAGCTTTCTATTTTATTAATGTAAATAAAATTGACATTGGGTGCCACCTTAGGGGATGGAGGAAGGAAGAAGGTTCTGGATCCTCTACAACAAGAGCAAAGTTGTTGCTTTACTCATTTTACAAGATGAGCTTCCCTTTCAGATTTCTTTGGGAGGGACAAGAGTGTTCCATTTATCCCTCTCTGCATATCTCCCTGTCCTCCAATTAACAACTGTAGGGGCAAGGGGACCTTCCTTCTGGCATGTACTTCCTGTGTGTTCTCTACCTCCTAAAGCAATTTGTTGAAGGCGAGAAAAGACAGAAGAATGTGCTTTCCTAATAGAGGTGGGAAAGCGTCTGCCTGAAAGGTCCTAGAGGATGAGCTATGTGGCCATAGAGGTGGGAAAGCGTCTGCCTGAAAGGTCCTAGAGGATGAGCTATGTGGCCATTTGCATAATGAGGTAGCTACAAACCCCGCAACACCTTTCAGGGAAGGTATCTGTTTGGCATTCCTTAGATGAGGCCATTGCAACTGATAAAAATGTCCAGTTTAGAGCACACAAAGGCTTGGGTCAGGGAGCTCAACAAGCCTCTGTCGTGGGCATCTACGCGAACGGGTCAACCTCCTCCTTACCTAATCTCTATCTCAAAGGATCCACATTTGGCCTTCCACTGTGCCCAGGAACCCATCCAGCCCTTGGCATGTGAAGTACCCGGAGAGTGGGTTTCTTCCCCATGTGCCCCTGGCTCCTTCTGCTGCAGCCATAACTAACAGCTTTTGTTATCTAAGTGTACCATCTGTGCTCCCATCATAGAATTTTTACCTTCTCTCTGGAAGGCTCCCAAACCTACCTCTTGCCCACACTCCCTTTGCTTAATAAATTCCCATTCTTCTTTCAGATCTCAAGTCAACTACCATTCCTTCAAGGGAGACTTTCTTGACCCCCTCAAGAAAGGGGGGGGGTCTGAGCCTGGGTGGGTTCCTTAGATGTCCTCAAAGAATCAAGTTCTTTTCCTTTCAATGTTTGAACTCAATTTTTTTATACTTTATCCTTGCCTACCCATGACTGTTTGATTAACGTCTACCTCCCCCTACTGGAATGTAACCTTCACGCAGGTAGGGACAATGTCTATTTTTGACCATATTTTAGTCCCAACAGTGAACCCAGTGTCTGTTAGATGGCAAATGCCCAGTAAACATGCACAGTGAAAACTTAATGTCTGCAGTATATAAGGGAATTGAGACTTAGGACAGCATCTCTCCTGTTCTAGGATGTGGACCCATCTTATGTGGGCCTGCACGTTTCCCTTTACTACTAATAAAAGTATTTTCTCTTCAGTTTTACTGATTACCCTGTGTAAATTATATGAAGCATTTTAAAGAAATGCTACAAGTGGTGGGATTTGCAGGTGTTCTTCATTTTCTATCCCTCTCTTTTTCCCTGTTTCCCCCCCTACTTTTTATGTATATACTGAATTTTCTACATTGAACATATATTACTTTTAAAAAATTGATTTGAAAAAACTCTGAAAGTAACTACTTTTTAACTTTAAAATATGGAGCTTTGGGGGTTTTGAGCTGGCATTAGAGAGAAGGAAATGGACTCCTAGCATGCCACGTGGTCTAGCAAGGAATAGATATCTGCATAGATTTAACAACACAAATCGTGTATGCTTTTGCTTTGTTTTGTTTTCTTTAAGCTACACTGAAGGATAAGTTACAGATGCAGAAGAAAATACAAATGTTACAAAAATACAGAAACAGAGAAGTAAAAGTGTAGCTGACACGGGGTATGAGTTTGTGGAAGTGTTAGAAGTGAAGTTGGGGATGTTAATTTCCACATCTTGTACAGACAGAAGTCAAGATAGTAAATACTGTTATAATAAGAAGCCATAGTGGTATAAGTATATTATCTCTGATTACAACAG